TGTGGAACCAGCGTCTGGTGTGTTGTTCCTCCCTCCTGCTTCATCATCCGCCTCGCCTTCCGTCAAGTCCATCTCCATCCCTTCTCCTTTCATCCCTGTTTCAGACGTTTCTGTTCCCTTTCCTACTATTGACTCCCCCGCCTTCCTTCGTTTTGGGCCCATCCCCTTCTTTGATGCTCCATCGTCCTCATGTAGTTGGCGCTTGTTGTCAGCCTGAACTTTGTCCCTTCTCTTGTATGTTTGCAGATCCACTTGTTCCGCTTGTTTCAGCGCTTCCTTAAAAGCGGATGGTTCCTTGTTAAATTCCTGTTCAATCTATTCCCTGATGATATCAAGATCCCACAACAGGTCTTCCCTCGCTTTCTCCTCCCTGATAACCCATGAGTCTGTGATGGGGTTGGTGTTGATCTTTGTCGGGTATCCTCTCACTTTTCCGGTCGCCTTCTTTTGCCACCTACTGTCAGCTGGGGGAAGACATGTGGCTTTTTGACAGATGGATTATGGCCACCAAACTGCCACACCCAGTCTGGCTCATCCAGGTTGTCATCAAAGACCCATCCATCATATGATGGATCAGCCACGAACCAGATTCCAGGTGCGTCTTCCACTTCTACCAACATGTTTGGTAGGACTTTCCGCTCCTTGGCTTGTTTCAGAAACTTGGGGCACGTTGGATCGCTTCCCAGATGGCCCCTTTCCCTTCAGCGAAAACAAATTGGAGAGGTTCTAGTTGAGATTCTTACTTCAATCAGCCTGTTTTCGATTTGGAACTTCCAAACCGGCGGGAATACAGGGGGATCGTATGTCTTAGCATCAAGAATCGTTGTCATAGATCCGCAGTGGGGTGCCAGGAATTCTGGTGTCGGTAAGATCCATTTCAGAATATTGTTCGCTGTGTATTGTCTTTCCAGTCTGTCGACCAACATGTCGTGAAAGCCCGGTTGAATGTTGTCGAATTGTACCCAGAAGTTTTCTTTCATCAGGGTTTGTTTGTAGGAGACTACAAACACCGGGTTTTGCCTTTGGATTGAACGTTTTTTCCATCTAGTGATCGTCCAGACTGAACCATGGCAGTTCCTTGATTGCATTTCCACTGCGATCCTTGCATGGTCCTCGTGGATGAAGAGAACCATGATGCTGTTGCGGCCAGCCTCTGCAGCGAAAACATGTCCCCAATCTGTTTCAATTTTGGTTCCTTTCTGATCGTTTCGACTCCCATTTCCGATTTTCTGCTGGCTGGAGGTCTGCCCCATGGCGTGCGTAGTTGAACGCTACTCCGTGTTTTTCATGTAAGTCGTGCAGCTCAGCAACCTTTTCTTCTGGATACTTCCATATGATCACTTCCTCTTCCCTGCCATCCACGATCTGCTTTCCCATCGACTCGACTCCGTGCACCTTCGTCTTCTCTATTAAAAACTTAAGAGCTTCGTTATCTATAATGTTAGTTGTCTTTTCCGTGGTTGCTCTGTCGGGTCCGTGCCATGTGTTGGGTTCGCCATCGTTGATCGCGAGAGATCGTGGCCGTGTCCCTATCTGTGGCCTATCTGAGAACTGGGGTAGCGTGGAGGAAGGGCGTTTGGACGTGAAGAAGTAGGGAGTATGGAGGGTGGATGTTGGATGGGAAGAGGAGAGGGGGAGGGGAGAGGAGGGAACCGAATCAAGCTGAGGGACGGGTGGGGAGGAGCTGGGGTCGGGGGAGGATGGAAAAGACTAATGAAGGGGGCTGGGATGGTTTGAGGAAGGAGATAGAATCGGGGGTGGGGATGAGAGCGATTCAGATTGGTGGGCGGAGGAAGAAAGGGCGCAGTTGGGAGAGGGACTCGGGTGTGGGTGGAACGAAGTCGGGATGCTGGTGGACTCTTGAACCAGATGGAGAGAGGAGGGGGGGAGGATCTGATCGGAATCAGGAGGGGGACTGGGGTCGAGAGTGGGGAGGGGTCTGGGCTCAGGGTCTGAAATGGGGCGAGGATCGGGGTCGGGATTAGGACTCTAAGGTACAGAATGTACTTGATACTAGTGAGGGAAAGGGCGAAACCAATCACCGATCGGGGACAGGGGGTTGGGATAGGTACGGGGTCGTGGTTGGGATCGGGTAGAGTTGGACTCGAGATTGGGACTAGGTAGGAGCGAAGCACGATTGGGATGAGAACGAATCCGTATTGGGGCGGAACGGAGGGGGGGGGGAGGGGTCAAGTCAGGATCGGCATGGAACCCAGATGGGGCCGCTTGGAGTCGGGATTTGAGTAGGGTCGGGTTTGGGGCGGGGTAGGTGCAAAATATGATTAGGGAGGGGTAGCTTAAGATCAGGTTCTGAGTGAGATCGGGGACTGCGTTGGAACGCTTAAGATCGAGACCTAGGTAGGAACGGGTTGGGGGCGGGGATGGAACGAGATAGGATCGTGGTGGGATCCGGTTAGGATCGGGGTAGGATCAGGTTAGAATCGGGGCGAAATCGGGTTAGAATCCAGATCAGATTGAGGTGGGGGCGAAGCAAGAACAGGAAAGACAACGGTTTTGGTACTGGGTGGGGCTGGGACCAGGGAAGAGGTCAAAACGGGGTTGGGATAGAACCCCGGTGGGGTCGCTTGAGATCGGGCGAATGAAGTTAGGGAAGAGCGAGAGGAATCGGGGGGGAAAGGGGAGATAGGCTGGGGTTGTCGGGAAGACAGGCGAGAGAGTGAGGATAGGGGGTTGAAGGGATAGAGGGATGGATGGATGGATAGTAGAAGAGAGCCCGGAAGGAGAATAGTATCGGGGAAGCGATGGTTGTGGGGAGGGAACAAACTGGCTTGAGGATCGGGCGATCCAGGGCGTGCGGGTGATGAGGAGCGCAAGAGATGAGGATCACGGAATGAACAAGAGACGAGAAACGAGATTATATGGGGATTCGAAACAAAGAGGTTGGAGGGGATGAGACGGGGAAAAGGGAAGGATGACTGGGTGGATGAGGGGAAGAATGGGTGAGGAGACCAAATAGAGGCTAGAGGATTGAGTAGCTGGGTTGCGGATGGCTGGGTATGCCTCAAAGGTGGTGGGTTGAGGGAAGATGTGTGGAAGGCCGAACACGTTGATGAGAGTACTGGTGAGAAGATGGGTAAATGGGGTCGTGGTGGCCGGAATCTTTGCGGGGGGGAACGGGGTGTGAGGACGAACGACAACAGAGAGAGGGGGAGGATGGTGGTGGTAGGGTAAGTCAAGATTCTGGGAATGGGTGAATGGATAGGCTGGGTGGGGTGTGCTGGCAGCCGCCTCGCTGGACAGGTAGATGGGTGAATGAAGAGATCAGCGGGTGACTTGATGGATGGGCGTGCCGCTGAAGCGAGAACGCTACTTCCGATAATGTAAGGAGGGATGATTGATGCGCTCAGACTAAGGGTAGAAGGACCAGGGTTTGTTGTGAGGAGAGAAGGGGGAACGTCGGTCCCAAATTCAAGTGTATGAGGGGGAGGAGCTCAGTTAGGAAATTGCAGAAAGGAAAGGGGGAGTGATGATTGACGAAGGAGAGATGAGGGAAACGGGATTAAAGCCGTGAACTGTGTTGAGACCTAGCAGCGGGGGAGGAATAACGAAGTCAGGAGAAGGGGGATGTTAATATAGGATGATAGTGCGAGAAGGCTGGATCTCACTTGGTCGAAGGTTTCTCCCTTAGTTGCTTGGGGTACGAGCTGACTTGGTGAAGACTTAGATGAGAGCTTCAGTTGTCCGCTGGGATGTGCAGTCTGGCCTTGTACATTCGCCCGTGTCGTGACTCCGTGCGCTAATACATTGACCTAAGCGCGCGCGCTAGGCACGCCCGCGCCGCGCTCCCTTGCGGTGCGTGGCCAGTTATGGCGTGGCCTGGTCATCCAGCTATGGCTCCAATGTCGTCGTCTTCGAATTCGAAAAAAAAGCAGCCGCGCGCGCGCGGGGATGACAGCGTCCACGGGCGTGAGCGCGGAGAGCTAGCGCTCGAAAAGCGAACCACAGCGCTCACCGAGTGGCGCGAGCGCGAATTTTTTTTTCAAAAGTCACCCAATCTTATTAGTCGTTAAATTATAATTCTAGGTTTTGCGACTTTTTCTCCATATTCTGCAAATTAGGGAATCGCTAATTATGAGTAACGGAATTAGCGCTAATTAGGGTTCGTCCTAACCTAACCTAACGACCTATCAACATATGGGAAGTAAGTGCCAGCCAGGCACCGCGCCAGTCACGGCAAATCGGGCCTGAGCACGGCCACATTCAAACTGCAACTTCACAGAACTTTCACTTTTTGCAAAATGCATCTTTTATTGCATTGAAAGGTTGAATCTTCCCAGCAAATTGTGTATCTTCCTATTACCATTCATCTTCTACTTAGTGACCTCGTGATGATGCTAAATTCTCCCGATTAAAATTTTGTGAAATTATTGAAGTTATGTTTAAATGTTTAAACTTGCGTAAACTTTATTCATGTTTATTTGTGCAAATTGAAATATTCTTGAATTAAATATTTAATCTTTTGCCAAAATTAAATTTTATTAATTCTTATTTTCTGATTAAATTTTATTTAATTTCTCAAAAAAATTGAAATTTTCGTAAGGGGGGGGGGGGGGAAATTTTTTTCCCTTTGATTAGTGTCAAATTTTGAGGTCAGGGGAGAAAGGGAGTGGCTGTGCATTGTTTGCCTCTTTGCCCTTCCTCCACACCCTACCTTCTCTCTCCTCCTCTCGGTACCGTGGACGTCAATCTCCGGCCACGTCAGCATTGTGCCACATCAGCAGCGGGCCACGAACACAGATTGCCACATCAGCCGCATGCCACCTCAGCGTGCCACGACAGTCGAGTGCCCAGTCAGCAATGGCCACCTCAGCAGTGCCACATCAGTAGGTGCCACCTCAGCGGTGACACGTCAGCAGCAGACGAAGACCAAAGTACTTAATGCGCCGCAGTCAACGACTTGCGGAGCGCGGATCCGAAGGAACCAAGCCCCAACAAGGACCTAAGACATCTCGGATCCCGCGCAGGCGACGCACGACCATGGCTGCTACCGCTGACGTCAATGCACAAGCCAGCCCCAAGAGGCCGGTTACCCCTCCTATCCCAGTTCAACAGAGGCCGATGAACCACTCCTAGCTTTTCTCAAACGTCTCCAGCTCTACTCGGAGACCATGGCAGCTGGACTAAGCAAGTGGGAAGAGGAGCAAGCCGCCCGCCAGCAGGAAATCCAACACCAGCTGGCAGAGGCAGAGGCAGGACGTCAGCAGGCCACAGCAGAAGCTGCAGCAGCCGCACGGTTGCAACAGCAGAAGGTCGAGGCCAGTCAGAACCAAGTTCGTTATCAAGCGACAATGGAGCTCGCCAACGAAGAAGCCACATATCGGAGGATACTCTGACAGCAGCACTTTAGAGCGAATGAAGAACAAGAGGAGCCGTCCGAGGAAGAGAGAGACAAGGAGGGCATAGGAGTTCTGATGGAGAATTTGTTGTACACGTGCAATTGGCAGCAACGTGAACTGTTGGCCATGCGGCAGGTCTTCATCCGCCACGAAACGATGTTTAAAACATTGGACAAGAAGATCGCTACTATGCAGGCCAAACTCAGCACACTACACGCCGCCAACAGCCAGCAACAAACAATCAACGGCCAGGTGCAGAACGATGTCAGCACAGGGTTGGCACAACTATCTGCAGCTGCGTCGACGGGCAGCGCAGTGGCAGACTGCAGCCCAGCCTTGGCAGCGCAGGCAAAGCAACTCGAGGAGTGGATCAACCACGTGGTCGTGTCCCTCGGCGACACCAGCAAGTTTGCTGGAGCGTCAACAATCAGCAATCAACTGCCGATGTCCCCAAGGAATGGAAGATGCCGAACTTCAAGATCGAGAGGTTCGATGACTACCACAACACTGATCCGCTGCAATGGTGGATGGCATTCAAAGCAGAGGCGAACGTGCATCACACTCCAGCACTGCGGCGGCTTGACGCTCGCTACCTCGAACTCATTGGAGGGGCGCAGGCCTTCATTACGCACATGGTGGTCACATTGGAATTTACCATCCCCACCCTCCACACCAAGATCACGTGGGAGGAATTCGAGAAGAAATGGAAGACCCGGTTCGTGGTCAACAACGACAAGCGTCACGCCTTGAACAAGATCTTTTGCATGTTTCAAGGCCAACAACCTTCACGGGAGTGGCTGACGGAGTGGCAAAGACTCGTCGCCACCCCGGAGTTGAGCTTACCATTCGACGCAGTCCGGGCCGAATTTTTTGCTCGGTCATGCGACGCCTTGACAGTTGCGCTGGGCAGCGAATTCCATTATGAGACCTTTGATGACATTTTCTCAAAGGCAAGAGAACTAATCCAAGGTGACCGGCGCGCAGCGAACGAGGCCCGCCAACAGCCCGGTTATGTGGAGAAAGGCAAAGGTCAACGGACGCCGCAAGTAGCAGCAGTCCAACAAGGACCTAGTGAGGACCATGCAGCCGCGTCTACATCAAGTGACGGAGATGTGGCAGCAGTGATACCACCGCAACGCTCAAGACCCCGAGGGGGAAAACACAAGGCGAAACCAGCGTTGACCGATGGAGCATGACAGTCACCATGGACGAAGTTCGGTATTACCGAAGACATGTTCAAGTTGAGAGAGAAATGGGGATGTTGTTTGTGGTGCAACAACACCAAACACGTCACAAGCGTCTGCCTCGACAAGGACAAGGAAAATGTCAAACGTCCGGGCTCGGGAAACTGAGCTCCGCGGGAAGTGCAGCGACAACACTTTCCAGCCCGCCGGACTCGGCTGCCTTGGCAGCAGTCTCTCTCACGCCCGGGGACACTGCGATAGTCGCAAGTTCTCGTATCCATTATGAGAACTATGTTGTCGAGCTGGTCCCACAATTGAACCAGCCTCTCCGCTTGCAAGCTTCAAGCGCGTGCGCGGAAGTTCCGCCGTCGGACAACGAACCGGTTGCTTCGCCAGCCCTTCTATCAGAGGATCCGTCAACTTGGGCGAGTCTTGAGGAACTTGACCCGTTGACGGTTGAGGACTTCCAATTGTTGCCTCTTCCCTCCACCGGTTCTTTGCCAACACTGCATTGCAATGCCTTAATGGCACGTCTGCGCGAATACTTGCACGTTGCACTACCACCTCCGTCGACGGACGACGGAGTAGCAGTTGTTGACCTTCGTAGCTATCTTGGGAAGATAGACCGCGAGTACGCAACGCAACGGTACGTCGACATCGACGCGCCGCTCCTCTACATCGGCATTCAGATCGAAAAGGCGACCTGCAGTGCCTTGATCGATTGTGGAGCGACTCGCAACTACATCAGCCAAGACTTCATGGCACGCGTCGGGCTAGGCCCGCGCGTTCGAAGGAAAAGTCAGCCTACGCACGTCACGTTGGCCGATGGTCACACACAAAAGTCAATTGACCGATGCGTTGACTCGGTGCCCGTGTACTTTGCCCCGCTAGCATGCGAGGCCGTGTCATTCGACATATTGGACACTAAGTTCGATATGATCTTAGGCATGTCGTGGCTGCAAAGCGAAGACCATCTGGTGAACTTCTATCGACGCACCGTTCACGTTCGTGATCGGCAAGGCGAATTAGTCCCGTGTACGGTGTCGCTTCCTCATCCTTCGATTGGTTGTCATGTGGTCTCCGTGGCGAGCATTCGCCAATCCATCTGGCGGAACGACATCGAGGAGATGGGCATATGTTTTCTTCACGCCCTCCCACCCGGTGATCAGCCCAAGACGAATATGTCGGACCCACGCATAATTGAGCTGTTCGACAACTATGAGGATGTCTTCCAAGCTCCCGCCGGAGTTGTACTGGATCGGCCCATACGCCACGGGATCACTCTCGAGGACGGTGTCGTACCTCCGCGCAAATGTATCTATCGCATGATCGAAAAGGAGCTTCAAGTGCTTCGGGCACAACTAGACAACCTCTTGGCCAAGGGCTGGATTCGCCCTAGCTGTTCGCCATACGGTGCTCCCGTTCTCTTCGTCCGGAAGAAGAACAAGGACCTTCGTTTGTGCATGAACTATCGGAACCTTAACGCGCAAACGATCAAGAACGCCGGCCCTCTCCCTCGGATCGATGATCTTCTCGAGCGACTAGGCGGCGCCAAGTACTTCTCGAAGCTTGACCTCAAGTTCGGATACCACCAGATCGAGATCCAGCCAAAAGATCGGTACAAAACCGCGTTCAAGACGCGATATGGGCACTTTGAGTGGATCGTCATGGCTTTCGGTCTCACCAATGCCCCGACTACTTTCCAAGCGGCTATGACGACGAAATTCCGCGACTTGCTCGACCGCACCGTACTCATTTACCTTGATGATATCTTGGTTTATAGTCAGACTCTGGACGAGCACCTCGAGCACCTTTGCGCCGTTTTGGAGCGGCTCCGTATTGCCAAGTACAAGGCGAACCACGACAAGTGCGAGTTTGCCCAGCAAGAGTCGGAGTACTTAGGCCATTACTTTACGCCGCAAGGCATTCGTCCGCTCGCGGACAAAGTACAAGCCATTCAAGATTGGCCGGAGCTCAAGTGTACTACTGACGTCAACTCCTTTCTTGGCTTAGCATCTTGCTACATGCGCTTCGTCAAAGGGTTTTAATGAATCGCTGCACCATTGTCGCGACTTCAGTCCCCCTTGGTGCCCTTCAAATTCAACGACGGAGCCCGACATGCGTTTCATACGCTGAAGACGTCTTTGCTCCAAGCTCCCGTCTTAAGCAACTATGACCCGACCTTGCCTACCAAAGTGACTACGGACGCTTCCGGCTATGGCATTGGCGCGGTTTTGGAACAGCATGACGACACAGACTGGCATCCGGTTGAGTACTTCAGCCGAAAGGTGCCACCCATCAATACACTTGATGATGCGAGGAAGAAGGAACTGCTAGCTTTTGTCACCGTACTTAAGTGTTGGCGTCACTTTCTCCCCGGGCGTCGGCGATTCACGTGGGCAACGGACAACAATCCGTTGACGTATTACAAGACGCAAGAGACAGTGAGCAGCACGATCGGTCGATGGATGTACTTCATTGACCAGTTCGACTTCACCTCCAAGCACATTCCGGGCTCCTCTAACAAGGCAGCGGATGCTTTCTCGCGAAGACCTGATCTTTGCGCCTTGGTGCACTCCACATTCGGCCTCGACGAGAACCTGCAACAGCATTTCGTAAACGGCTACAAGTTGGATCCGGGATTCTCCACACTCTATGCGGACTTATCATCGGATCACGTGCCGGCAAGCAACTATCGCATTGTCGACGGCTACTTGCTTCTTCATACACGAGGCAAGGACTTGTTGTGTGTTCCCCAAGACCACATCTTGCGCACTCACCTCCTTGGCGAATACCACGATTCGCGGCTGGCGGGACACCTTGTTGTTGCACGCACACTCGCACGACTCCGCCAGCGATTTCACTGGTCGGACATTATCAGCGACATCAACCGGTACATTCAGACATGTGCAGTTTGCCACCGGAACAAAGGGCGCCATCAGCTCTCGTACGGCGAATTGAAACCATTGTCGATTCCTCGGGAACCGGGTCTCTCCATTGCTATGGATGTGACCGGCCTGTTCCCTCGCGATCGCCTTGGCCACGATGGCATTCTCACGGTCGTTGACCGTTTGAGCAAGTACGCTCGATTTCTTCCATGCAAGTATCATGCGACGGCTCCTGAGCTCGCACGACTTTTGCATACCGGCTGGTTTTGCAGCCACGGCGTCCCGGAAGACATCGTCAGCGACCGCGACACTCGTTTCATGTCAGCTTTTTGGACGACACTCGTGGTGAATCCGGCACCAGCATGAAACCGAGTTCCGCACGACATCCTCAAATGGATGGGCAAACGGAACGTGCGCACCAGACTGCGCAGATGATGCTCTGCACACTCATCCGCCCGGATCATAAGGACTGGGTTGACCGCCTTCCTGACATCGAGTTCGGCTACAACACTTCGGTGCACCCGGCGATTGGCGTGACTCCATTCGAGTTGCATCACGGTGGACGGAAAGGACGTATCTTCGCAAACATTTTGCTTCCACGGGCTGCCAATATAGACGCCGCTTGCTCCCCCGCTTCTACACGAAAATGTACAGGGAACCGCTGGCCAAAGCCCTCGCAAACATGCAAAAGGCTCAGGTCCGTATGCAGCAGCAAGCGAACCGGCGTCGCATCCCATGTCCAATACGCGCTGGCAACCTAATTTGGGTCAGCTCCTAGGAATTCGCGCTCGAGCAGCACGTCTCATGCAAGCTCCTCCCTAAGTGGTTTGGACCATGGAAGGTCACTTCAGCAGCTGGCGACGACCCCGCGGGTCCATCTTTCATCATTGAGATTCCCCCGCATTTGACGGTCCACCCGGTATTTCACGCTTCAAAGCTGGCGGTCTACACTCCAGCCTCCGCAGCGGACTTCCCGGGTAGACTGTCACACGACCCTCCTTCAATGGATGGTCACCAGGAGGTCGATCGCGTTCTGACGCATCTCAAGCATGGCAACAAGCCAATGCAGTACAAAGTCACATTTAAGCAATGCGATCTACATAGTCACATTTAAGCAATGTGATCCTGACGACACAGGCTGGATTTCATGAGCTGATCTGAAGGCGACAACACCCCTCATCTTCGCGCATTACGAAAAGTAGCGACTTGCCAAAGAAGCTGCCCAACTTGCCCGCCCCGTACGGACATCGGACAGACACCTTCACCCTCACAGTTAGCTCGGTCTTCAAGGGGGGGAGTGTGTGGCATTCTGAGCCACACGGGCCCCAGTTAGGGCCCAGTTCGAGGTAGGCAGGGTAGGCCTAAAGGGACGACGGTTCAGATGAGGCCCAGGTAGGCCAGGGGCACGACATTTCAGACAGGCCAGGGTAAAGGCACAGGCCAACGGCCACAAGGCCGGTACCGGTCCAGCATAGGACCTACCGACGACACAGTTCAGAGGCTGCCGCGTTTAGGCTTAAGTCCAGTTCGAATCTGGACCGTTGATCAGATCAACGGTCCAGGCCGGTAGGTACCAGCAGGTAGGAGGCCGGCCCAGCACTACAAAAGGCTGGGTACCAGCCTCAGTAGGAAGGTTAGAGGTTAGTATGGACCGAAGGTTAGTCTTCAGGATTAGCGCAGCGTTCCAGCGTTAGTACGATTAGCGCAGTGCTGCAGCATAGCGAGGAGCAGCGACGAGAGCAGGAGTTCAGCGGCGAGAGGATCAGCGCAGCATTGGGCGCAGCACCAGTCACCGGCCCAGCCCCTTGCAGCGCCATAGCTACCGTGCCAGGTACCAGGGAGGAATGTTTCGCCTTCTCTCCCTCTTCTTCCTCCACCGCTCTCTCTCTCTCTCTCTCTCTCTCTCTCTCTCTCTCTCTCTCTCTCTCCCTCTCTCTCTCTCTCTCTCTCTCTCCTCTCTCTCTCTCTCTCTCTCCCCCCCCTCCTACCTTCTCAGTCTAAGGCTACTTTTGGGTTCTCCTACGGGACTACTATAAGTATGAAAGATGGTTACTTATTCTGATGACATTGGAGACAGCGACATTCGTCTATTTCTTTTGCAAGTTTTGCTTATTTGTGGGAGGAGGATGTGATGTTAGGGTTCTTAACTTTTCCTTGTTTGTTGAAAGAGCACCTGATATTAGGGCTCTTAACTTCTTAACTCTTGTAATGAAGATCTCTGATAACTGGAATGATTACAATTTTGTCCTTTAGGACATTTGTAAAAATTGGAAGGATACAGAGAAGATTAGGATGGCCCCTGCACACAGATGACGAATAAAAAAAAGGGAAAAAAAAGGAATGTGCAAAGGCATAGGGCCCTCCATAGGGCCCTGCAGCAGGCGCGTGCCCGCCCTAGGTGAAGGCGGGCCCCCTGAACTCGTCAGTTTTTGCAAATGGCGCCAGACAGTTGCAACGGGCCAGTTGGTTACAATCTGCTCGTGAGAATCCAAAATATTTGTGAG